ACATGAGGATGTTTCCTCACAAAAGTCTTCACGGTCTCTCTCCTTATGAGACTGTGATGGGACGACCCTTTCCCTCACCATGGAGGCAAAGGGGTACCACACTGGGTGACGGTTCTCTGGATATTCATATGAGTGAATGTGCACAACAGCTACTAAAAACATTGCATGCATACTGGACTAACATACATTCTGGTTCAGCCCCGATGCCGGTAGACCCAACACACCCCTTTAAGGTTGGTGACAGAGTAATGATTAGACAGTTCAATAAAATGAGCACAGAACTGGGGGACCCCAAATATGGCCCCCCGACGGATGTCGTGGCTGTAACCAGAACCGCCGTTTTAACCTCCTCTTCTCCACAGTGGATCCATGCAACCAGGATAAAACGAGCACCTATTGAATAATAAAAATGTATAAGTTTTGTACTATGATAATCTGTCTGCAGACTCTCTTTGTTTTACAGATTTTGGGGGCCCCCTCAGCACAGACGACACCTCTACAGCTGCAATTCACCTCTACAGCTGCACAATTGCGTTTGGGAGACAGATGGGAGCTAAACACGTAGCACTGTCTACCTTAAGGCAAGGGTCAGCATGACTTCCTTTTTGCTGCGGACAATTGGACTGTTTCTCTTTCTTGTTGCTCAAGCTAATGCAGCCAGGCAGAAACGCTGGACACATGATCATGAATTCGGATGGGCAGAGGATGGGGCTGACAATCCTATTGGAAATAATATGTGGTATCAATATGTAAATGAGTTTTAGCTAGGTCATATAATGTATCTGGTTGTTATGTATGTTCTGTTATGCCTCATTCAGCCAAACAAACCCCTCTTTATGCCAAACCCATGAATAAAACAGCTGCTAAATGTTCTGCCAGTTTTGCAGGATCAGGGTACCAGGACCCATATATAATTGTCGATGACTACGATCCATACCGGATTGGCATTAGAAATGGTACATGTGATGCTCTATTTTGGGTAAAATTTGGCCACGCTAAACCCTCACCTATTAGCCACAAGGTTTTTTATTAACCATTCTATTACACACCCTGTGTGTTATAACTAGACCATGGGCTCTCATTTCATGTGAAGCACTGTTAACTGTCAACAAATTGCCTCCTCGGGAGAGGGGGCCCCAGTCGACATCTCAGGACCCTCAAATGGCACTTATGTGGTCCAGGGTGGGTGGTGGTTGTGTGGGAAAAACGCCTACATGTCCCTACCGGCCAACTGGACGGGGCAGTGTGCCCCTGTGCATGTGACTGATCACACTTTTATTGTGACAGCCCAGGTCCTGTCAGCGCAGCAAAGAGTTAAACGCAGTGTCCCTGAAATGAAGCCCCATGACTCTGTATGGGGTACTGACGTGCCCGAGGATTTTAAATTATGGACCACTGGTAACAAAGTGGTATTGGCTCTATTTCCGCAAATAGGTGTGGGAAAAGCTCTACTAAGAATTGAGACCCTGGACTATCGCATGGGCCTATTCCTGAATGCCTCAAAAATAATTAATGAGGCCCAGAATAAGGAGCTGGGTAATCTACGTACCATGGTTTTGCAAAATAGAATGGCTCTAGATCTCTTAGCAGCATCCCAGGGGGCGGTATGTAAATGAGTACTGCTATGTCTACTCTCTAAGGGTTAAAAATTGCCATGACTTCAGATTATGTTCCTGACACAACTTGGGGTTGGATGATGGGTCTGTTTGGCTGGGTGACTCCTTTCCTTACTATGATAATTCCTGTATGTATTATTTTCCTTCTTGTTTGTTGTTGTGGTCCTTTTCTCTTGCAATGTTTGATGAATCGAATCTATGCCACAATGGACAGTATGATGGGTCAACGATATGATAAGATTCCTCTGCGTTAGGCCTTTGGCCTAAAAGAGGGGACTGAGAGAACATTTTGTCCTCTTTTAAGTGTGCTTGCATGAGAAGCAGAAGTGTCTGTGGTTTTTTGTGTGTGTGTGCATCGGAGGTCTGAAGGTCAACGTCTGGTTTCGGTCTTGCAGATATCTTCCACACTGGAAAGTCCCCGCTATATATACATTTCTTCTTTATTCTGTTTGTATAACATGCCCATATTAAGAGTGTCTTCCTTCTTCTGTATAACTTTTAAAGGTCAGCCCACTATGTATATATGTCCCTGCTCATCCTTATCATCAGGCTTGCAGAATAAACCATTCTAACTACAGTTTGGTCTCTTCTCATGTCTCCGGGTCGACCTGATGAACTTTGCTGAATCTGGTGCCTAATATAGGGGAAATCTTACAGAAGGCAAGACGGTTTTGCACACAGAGACTAAAAAAAGACAGCAAGTCTAAAATGGCAATCAAAGAGGTTGTTTAAGTCTATTTGTCGCACTATTCATTAGGCCTCAAAGCTATACAATTTTATTATGCATTCCGGTAAGCTCTATGAAACTAGCGCATTCACCACCTGGATCAATTTAGCCCAGGATCTCCTGTTTACAAGAGAGGCGCTTCGACCAGCTAAGCCACAGCACCACAATGAATGACCGTAAGAGACATTTGCCCGATAACAAAAAACGAAGAAGAACAAACCAATACACAACAAAAACCAGCATGTCAGGATGCAGAAAATGCCGACAAGATGGACGTGGTCTTTTAGAGTCCGGATGATTATGTCTCAAACCTGATCAGTAACCTGGCCTCTGTTCAAGATCAAAGCAAAAAATGCATTGATTTATTTTTATTTAATCTACCCTTAATCATGTGTCAAGTGTTTTTTGGAATCTCCAGTTTCATTACATCCAAACCCAGATTCAGCTTGGAAAATGGAAATCTGAGGGAAAGGTGCAATTTGGATTTGAATCTAGTACCTGCTGTTCCCAAGACAGGTGCTCTGGCCAACTTAGTCTTAACACTAAAAGAAGAAAACCTCTGGATACGATACTTCCAAACGCAGTTTCATCTAAGACAGTGGGGGAAAAGCAAAATTTACTATGCTTTCTACTTAGTTACTTTGCACATGCATAAAGAGGCTCTTGTACGACGATTCCAAAAGGCGTGATCTCAACAAAAGGTGGTAGACACTTTTGCCCAAAACCACAGGTTGCCTTTGAGTCATTCCTTAAGCTTACTTGGCCCTACACCGTTTTCTAATCTCCCTTATTTAAAACAGCTCAATTAAGTCATCGGCTTCATTGTAGAGTACCCCTAGTATCTGAGCCTGCACTGCGCAATGAAATTAAAAAGCAGAACAGGATGGACAGATGTCAAAAATGTTGGAAATGCACCACTCCTAAGTCAGTGAAGAAAAAGGGCAAAGCTTGCAACGCTGGTGGGACTTGAACTCAAAACCTTTAAATGACTCAGTTCACAGCCAAGAAGTCCAATGCGCTATCCATTATCTTAGATTAAATGATTTCCATTTTCCGAGCTGACAGATGGTTTGGATGTAATGAAACTGGATATTCCAAAAAACAATTAACACATGATTAAGGGTAGATTAAATAAAAATAAAATAATGCATTTTTTGCTTTGATCTTGAACAGAGGCCAGGTTACCGTTCAGGTTTGAGACATGATCATCCAGACTCTAAAAGACCACGTCCGTCTTGTCAGCATTTTCTGCATCCTGACATGCTGGTTTTTGTTGTGTATTTATTTCTTCTTCGATTTTTGTTATCGGGCAAATGTCTCTTACAATTAATTTTTGTGGCGCTGTATCTTAGCTGGTCAAAATGCCTTGTAAACAGGAGATCCTGGGCTCAAATCCCAGCAGCGCCTTAGTTCAGGTGGTGCGTGTGCTTTTTTTTATAGAGATTAACGAAATTAATTATAAAACTGTATAGCTTTGAGGCATAATGGATAGTGCGACAAAATGAGTTACATCTGAGCTCATCTGATTCACAACTAGTTGACTGCACACCCATGTTTTTAAGTTGTTTATCTCCCCCTCCATATTCTCCATTCCTCAAACCTATTGAGGATTTTTTTCCTGCCTGGAGATGAAAAGTGTATGACCGAAATCCAAACACATGTATACCCCTTCTCCAAGCTATAGCAGTTGATGCTTTTCGTGGCTGGATTTGCCATGCAAGGTGACATTTGCCCCACTGCTTGGCCACACCAATACAGAAAAGAGAATGCAGTATAGCTGTTTTTTTATTTATTTATTTTTTTACTGTAACTGTATTTAGTAAATACTTCTGTTGATGGTATATGTAGACCACATTTTCTGCAACTTTGTGTTGGTTGGGATGAACACTTTGTACGCTGTTTTTGTGAGGAAAATACAGTAAAATATATTTGGTATTTGTTTGTTTTGTATTAAAACAATTTTCGAAAAATTTTACAATGCACTTCTGTAGGTCTATGTACTGTCTGTAGTAAGTGTAACACTGAACAGAAGAAGGCTTACAGAAAGTCATTATGATGAATAGAGAAGAAGTGGTCATAGTGTTTTACATTAAGCACATTAGTGTTCAACTGATCTTATGAATATCTATTAATGTGATGGCTTGTGTGTGTCATTTGAAAACAAAATACCTTTTTGAGAAGAAATCACATTGTTTTGAACTTATAATTTCATTTTGCAGAAGAATTGAAGAGTTTTGCCCAATGTGTGTGTGTTTTGTGATTTGTGTGTAGAGTTCTGACAATATGAGACATGCTTTCAGAAAATGTGTGTAAACAACTGGAAAAAAACTGTAAACAACCTCTTTGGTTGTCATTTTAAGACCTCCAGGAACAAGTTTGGTGACCCCTGACTTAAAAGCATAGTTCTCTCAGACAGCAACTTTACAGGGCAACACTATATGCTGAATGGCTCAACCGAAATTTTAACCTGTTATTTCTCACGGAATGAACGAGAATCATACTCCTAGACAAGCAAGCCACTATGCAAAGTAATGTTTTGTGGCGACACTATATGCTGGCAAACTGGAATTCTTCGAAAGACATTTTTATGAAAGACATAATGTGCTGTTACGCCCTCGGGGCGAAACAAGTAAAAAATAAGAGGGGGAAGCCAAAAATCACGTTACAAAAGTTTTATTTAAGCCCACTGTGATCAAACATTAGGCAAGAACGCCCCGCCAACTCGCACGCCGCTGGTCTCCGTCCCAACCCTTAGCCGGAAGAATCAGCCTCCCAAACAGTGGCAGGACGCTGATAAAGGAGCGCTCACTTAGACTCAGGTGTTCCCCATCCACCTGATTATGCCCCGCAATGTTACAGCGCATCTGTAGAGGGAGCAAAACAGACACACAGACAGACACGGAAGACAAATGACAGCGCAGCAGGCGTCACACCCTCCCCCATAAACAGGAAACAACGTTTCCATACAATAAACCATAAACATGTACATAATAAAAAGAAAGTGAATACAAACCCATATTTACAAGGGGGCCCTAGACAGGGCGTCGGCCACTATATTCTCAGAGCCTTTTAAGTGCCGAATGTCCAAATGAAAAGGTTGGAGAAACAAGCACCAGCGCATAAGCCGTTGGTTAGGATTTTTAAGCGAGTGCAAAAAGGTAAGAGGATTATGATCGCTATAAATCGTTAAAGGTGAACTATCTCCTCCCACATACACCTCAAAGTGTTGGAGAGCCCAAATTAATGCGAGCGCTTCTTTTTCGATGGTAGAATAATTCCGTTGATAACTATTGAATTTTCGTGAGAAAAAACAAACCGGACGCTCGATGCCCACATCATCCTCTTGAACCAACACTGCACCCGCTCCCTCTTTACTGGCATCCACCATAATCTTAAATGGTTCTCCTAGCCGGGGAGCCATCAGGACTGGTGCTGACGTAAGCAACGCCTTCACTGCATCAAACGCAGTTTGACAAGACTCGGACCACACAAATAAAGCTTTGGACTTAAGCAGATCAGTTAAAGGGGCAACCACTGTGGAAAAGTTTCTACAAAAACAGCGGTAAAGGCCCTCCTCCCAATCTCTGTCCATCTCAACGCAATAAGCCCGGAGCAAGGATTTTAAGGTGGAATGGAAGCGCTCTAGCGCACCTTGACTTTGCGCATGATACGCAGTGGACAAATTGTGCTTAATCCCCAAATGACGAAGTACTTCGGCAAACACGTTTGAAGTAAAATTACTTCCCTGATCGGACTGAATAACTTTAGGTAAGCCAAAAATAGAAATAAATTGAGTGAGAGCTTTAACAATAGCCTTAGTGTTAATAGAACGCAAAGGAAACGCGGCCGGATAACGAGTGACCTGGCACATCACTGTTAGCAGATATTCACTCCCCGCTTTCGAGCGAGGGAGTGGCCCAACACAGTCAATGATGAGATGCTCGAAAGGTTGGCATACGGCAGAAATGGGCTGCAGAGGCGCCGGTTTTAACGGCTGATTAGGCTTACCAGTCAACTGGCATGTATGACAGGTTTTAACATAACTGGCGACATCTTTTTTGATTCGTGGCCAGTAAAAATAACGAAGAATTCTGTCATACGTCTTTTTAATGCCAGCATGACCGGCAAGACCATCATGGGCAGTTTTTAAAACTACCGGCCGCCATTTAACGGGCACCACCACCTGGACAAAAGGATCCCCCACACAAAAACCAGCATGTGGAGACCATTTTCTCAATAATACCCCATCTCTGATGAAATAACCCTGTGCCCGGTTCCGAATATCAACATCATCATAAACTTGCTCATACTGAGCTTTTAAAGTTACATCGCTCTGCTGTTCCTTCGAGAGCTCTTCCCTAGAAACGGCCAGTGGATAATCAGTTAACGGAAAAAAATGTTCAGTACTTACAGGTTTTACTTCAGATTGCGCCCGGCTAGCAGATCGAGTCACTGCACAAGCAACAAACACATCAGGATTTTGCGGAGCACTCTCATCCAGACAGTCACAATAGGGAGGCGGGTTAGAAACTATCAAAGGTGGCGTTTCCCCAACCCAAACGCGTCCGCCCGCCAGATTATTGCCAAGAAAAAGTGACACGCCTTCAACGGGCAGAACAGGTCGCACGCCAAGCTCTACATCGCCCTGCACTAAGTCACAATTCAGAGTCACTTTATGTAAGGGTACAGATAATGTATTTAATCCAATGCCACGAATTAACAACGATTTACCAGTGTCAGACTCCAGTGAAAACGGCAATATAGATTCCAAAATAAAGGAAGCCGATGATCCTGTATCTCGGAGAATTTTTACTGCTATCCTATTACCACTTTTAAGTGACACAAAACCATCCGAAATAAACGGATTAAAAATATCCTGGCGGTCTAACACGCTTGATGTATTCGCCGGTGTTTCAGCTGACAGAGCGGACAGCGGTACAGGACCCACAAGCGCAGCGGGCTTTACAAAACCGGCGGATTTAGTTAGCTGTGCTTTGGCACTTTTTGATTTAAGAACGGGACAATTTGATTTCCAATGCCCTTCTTCTAAGCAGTAGTTACAAGTCAAATCGTGTCTATTTGATGGACTTTTAGGACGCCTTGCCTGGTTCAAATAAACGGATGGAGAACTTAAGCAGGGAGAAAGGCGATCACTTCTGAACCCGTCTGCACGAGTTTTATGAATGAGTTCCCACTCATCGGCCAGCACTGCTGCCTGGGACGCGGTCTTAACATTACGCTCGGCAATGTAAGTGACAACAATATCTGGAAGCGTATTTTTAAATTGCTCCAATAAAACCAAATTTATCAGATCATCCAAGGTGGTCACTTCTGCCGACATACGCCAACGATTAAATCGCAAAGTTAGATCTCTCACAAATTCCACATGCGTTTGATTGGATTCACGCCCCAAAGAACGAAACTGCTGGCGATAACTTTCCGGCACACGCTCATAAATCTTTAAAACAGATGACTTCACATTTTCGTAAATTTGACTCTCCTCAACTGATAAAGCAGAATACGCTTGCTGGGCCTTTCCCGTCAAAACGCACTGAAGGAGTAAGGTGCGCTCAATGTCACTCCACTTATAAGCTACAGCAATCCTCTCAAATAACAGAAAAAAAGTTTCCACATCACACTCATTAAACGGCGGAACCAAGCGCAAATTATTAACAATATCCAATTTAGGAGAGGAGGCTACAACACTTTCAGCAGGGAACTTACCCTCTTTTAGAAGATCAAGTCGTTTCTGCTCGACCTGCACGCGCTGCTGCTCCAATCGACTCTCCTCAATCTTATGTTCTATTTTAGCTTTCTCACAATCTAAACGCCGTTTTTCACACTCAGTGTCGCGCTGCAACATCAACAACTCCTTCTGCTGCTCGAATGAAAGTGCACCAAACCCAGGTTGTATCGGAGCCGGTGCTTCCACCAGCACATTCAGATCAAACAGCGACGCTTTTAAAATCTGCTTTATCCCCTCCTTCGTTCTCTTCTGAAGTGCGGAGAGCTCAATTTCGTAATGAGTTGCTAATTCTAATAATTGATCCTTCGTCATTAAGTCTAATAAGTCCTCCGACGGAGTTTGAACAAACGTTTCCACAACACTCGCCATAGGAAAAAAAAAATCCAATTAACTCCAATCCAATAATAATAATAATAATAATATCACCGTTATTGCAACCAATCACACAGAAATAAAACCTCCCCGACTCTTCACTAATGTAGACCCTAATCTTCAACTGGCCCAAGACCGGGAATTTATGCACTATATACCGCAAGTTTGGGAGAACCACCAATGTACAAGTAATTCCCCAAACCTCGGCCGTGCTCCCGAGACAAATGCTACCAAGCCCCGAGCCAGCCAAAAACAACAAACTAAAATAAAAAAATAACGTATCCGAAGACACGTTCTTCACCTACCCGGGGACAGTTTATTTCTGCACAATTTGGCTAGGTTTCTTTTGACGGATTAGACTATGATTAGAACTTAATCAAATATTACACTTGGGCAGGACGGAGACCACAAATTGCCTGCCAACTACTACATTCCCCCTCCTAACAAAATAAGCTAATAATCAAAGCAAAACATAATAAAATAAAACACTTACCAAACGAAAATCTAACCAAAACAAACCGATCGACGCAAAAAATAGTCTTCACAAGGACGAGCCCCCAATTGTTACGCCCTCGGGGCGAAACAAGTAAAAAATAAGAGGGGGAAGCCAAAAATCACGTTACAAAAGTTTTATTTAAGCCCACTGTGATCAAACATTAGGCAAGAACGCCCCGCCAACTCGCACGCCGCTGGTCTCCGTCCCAACCCTTAGCCGGAAGAATCAGCCTCCCAAACAGTGGCAGGACGCTGATAAAGGAGCGCTCACTTAGACTCAGGTGTTCCCCATCCACCTGATTATGCCCCGCAATGTTACAGCGCATCTGTAGAGGGAGCAAAACAGACACACAGACAGACACGGAAGACAAATGACAGCGCAGCAGGCGTCACAGTGCTGTAAAACGCAGGACACCTGCAAGGTCTCATCCGGTATTTGAACCTGGGACCTCTCACACCCGAAGCGAGAATCACACCCCTAGACCATTGAGCCACTAAAGTGCTAGGGTTTCACATGGCGTCAGAAGCATCAAATAGTCAGAAATCTTTCTCTAAAGTGAATCAAGGGCACCCTAAGCGAGATTCATACCCCTAGACCAACAAACCACAAAAGCTTGAATATTTCACAAGACTTCAGAAGCAACATATGGTCAGAAATCCTTATCTAACAAACATTGAAGCAGGGCTTTTGCTTCATTTGGACCCAGGACTTCTACAATGGTTCGTCCAGGATTTGAAAACGGGACCTCTCGCACCTTATGCGAGAATCAAGCGCGTAGACCAACAAGCTACTGCAAAACAGCCACTTTACATGGCAATACTATCTGCTGACAAACTGGAATTCTTCAAAAGACATTTTTACGAAAGACACAATGCCCTGTAAAACACTAGACAACTGCAACGGCTCGTCTGGAATATGAACACAGGACCTCTCGCACCCGAAGCAAGAATCATGCCCCTATACCAACGAGCCACTGCAAAACAGCAACTTTAGATGGCAACACTATCTGCTGACCAACCGGCATTCTCAGAAAAAAGGCCTCTGTGTAAGCCACAACGACCTTACAAAACAAAAGACAACTGTAAGGGTTCAACTGAAATTTGAACCTAGGATTTCTCATGGCATGAACGAGAATCAAACTCCTAGAACAGCAAGCCACTATGCAAGAAATATTTATGTAGCGACACTATCTGCTGACAAATTGGAATTCTTTGAAAGACGTTTTTATGAAAGACATAATGCCCTGTAAAACACAGGACACCTGCAAGTGCTCGTCCAGGAATTGTACCTGAGACCATTCGCAACCGAAGCGAGAATCATACCCATAGACCAACAAGCCACTAAATTGGGAGAATTTCACAAGGTATCAGATAGTCAGAAATCTTTCTCTAACGAATCAAGGGCACCCTAAGTGAGAATCATACCCCTAGACCAACGAGCCACTGCAAAACAGCAACTTTATATGGCAACACTATCTGCTGACAAACTGGCATTCTCAGAAAAAAGGCCTCTGTGTAAGCCACAACGACCTTACAAAACAGCAGACAACTGTAAGGGCTCAACCGAAATTTGAATCTGGGATTTTTCATTGCATGAACGAAAATCATACTCCTAGACCAGCAAGCCACTATGCAAAGGAATGTTTTATGTGGCGACACTATCTGCTGACAAACTGGAATTCTTCGAAAGACATTTTTATGAAAGACATAGTGTCCTGTAAAACTCAGGGCACCTGCAAGGGCTAATCCAGTAATTGAACCCTGGTCTTCTCGCAACCGAAGTGAGAATCATACCCATAGACCAACGAGCCACTAAATTAAAAGGATTTCACATGGCGTCAGAAGCATCAGATAGTCAGAAATCTTTCTCTATCTAATCAAGGGCACCCTAAGCGAGAATCATACGCCTAGACCAACGAGCCACAAAAGCATGATTATTTCACAAG